GGTGACAAAGTGAGACTCCAGCTCAAAAAAAAAAGAAAAAATTAGAGTTTTGTCTGGTGAATCCTGCTGCCTTTCTAGAATTGGTCTCACAATTTTCTGAAACCCAAAAACTGATAAATGAGAGAAATAAACTATATGTTTTAGGATCTTAATATTTAAATTTTTTATTAAAACCAGTGCATCATTGTCAGCGAAACAGGAAGAAATAGAAATGCCAGACCTTTTATCTACATCCTTGGAATTATTGAACACTTAATATCAGCTTCCGGGGTGTTATGAGGATGAAATCCCGTAATGTGTTATTCCCAGCACAGAGCTCTGTAACATACTCTTGAGCACATAGTACCTGCTTAATAAACGCTGCATTAGTACATATGTGCATGTTATTTTCCAAATGCAGACTTATTCAGACATTGCTGCCTTCCATTTGTTCTATAAACTTTAAAGAGCCAGCAAAGAATGTAAAACTTTAGGAGTTCGACAAGAGATTGGTTGTCTTCATTTGTCCCACAAATATTGGTGTTGTGACAAGACTGCTGAGTGTAAGGGACTCTGTTCTGTGCCTGCTTTCTTTATCTGATACTAATAATGAGCCTCGGGGAGCAACATCAGCACTGACAGGGAACTTGTTTGAAATACTCATTTATGGACCCTTTTCAAACTTGCGGATTCACATTACATAGAGCGGGGCTAAAATTACCAGGTAATTTTTAAGCTCATTAAAGTGTGAAGAGACAATGTTTAGCTAAGTGGTTCTCAGCCCAGTCTTGTTTTTTGTTTTGTCTTTTTTTTTTTTTTTTTTTTAATGGAGTCTAACTGTCGCCCAGGCTGGAGTTCAGTGGCACTATCTCAGTTTACTGCAACCTCTGCCTCCTGGGTTCAAGTGATTCTCCTGCCTCAGCCTCCTGAGTAGCTGGGATTACAGGCACCTGCCACCACACCCAGCTAATTTTTGTATTTTTAGCAGAGATGGGTTTCACTGTGTTGGCCAGGCTAGTCTGGAACTCCTGATCTCATGATCTGCCCACCTCGGCCTCTCAAAAGTGCTGGGATTACAAACTGAGACACTGTGCCAGTGCCCAGCCTGGTTTTTTTTTTTTTTTTGGAGACAGAATCTCATTCTGTTGCCCAGTCTGGAGTACAATGGCATAATTTCAGTTCATTGCAACCACCGCCTCCCAGGTTCAAGCTATTCTCATGCCTCAGCCTCTCGAGTAGCTAGGACTACAGGTGCACGCTACCCTGCCCGGCTAATTTTTTGTATTTTAGTAGAGACAGGGTTTCAACTGTCTGATCCCAAACTCCTAAGGTCAGGCAGTCCTCCTGCGTCGGCCTTCCAAAGTACTAGGATTACAGGTGTAAGCAACCACACCCAGCCAACTTTTGTATTTTTGGTAGAGACAAGATTTGACCATGTTGGCCAGGCTTGTCTCGAACTCCTGACCTCAGGTGTTACATCTCAGCCTCCCAAAGTGCCAAGATTACAGGTGTGAACAACCACGCCTGGCCTCAGCTCTAATTAGGATTACATGGCCAATTTGTAGAAGTCTCTGTACTTGTGCCCTTTCCACAGATTCTATTTATCCATGTTTATTGTTGTTTTTTGAGACAGAGTCTCAGCCGGGCACGGTGGCTCAAGCCTATAATCCCAGCACTTTTGGGAGGCTAAGGCGGGTGGATCAGGAGGTCAAGAGATTAAGACCATCCTGGTCAACAAGGTGAAACCCCGTCTCTACTAAAAATACAAAAATTAGCTGGGCATGGTGACGCGTGCGTGTAGTCCTAACTACTCGGGAGACTGAGGCAGGAGAATTGCTTGAACCCAGGAGTCGGAGGTTGCGGCGAGCCGAGATCGCACCATTGCACTCCAGCCTGGGTAACAACAGCGAAACTCCGCCTCAAAAAAAAAAAAAGAGAGAGAGAGAGTCTCTCTGTCACCCAGGCTGGAGTGCAGTCGCATGATCTTGGCTCACTGCAACCTCCGCCTCCTGGGCTTAAGTGATTCTTCTGCCTTAGGCTCTTGAGTAGCTAGGACTACAGGCACAAGCCACTATGCCTGGCTGTTTTTTCTTTTTTGTATTTTTAATAGAGACAGGGTTTTACTGTGTTAGCCAGGATGGTCTGGATCTCCTGATCTTGTGAACCGCCTGCCTCGGCCTCTCGAAGTGCTGGGATTACAGGTGTGAGCCAGCATGCCCAGCCCCTTGTATTAATGAAGTGCCTTGTGTGACTCTAAGGTTAGACAAGAATCAAGTATGAGGGCTTCAGTATACATTAATGGGAGCTAAGTGCCACCTTTGCATCAAAGAGTGGTCACAAGGCCTGTTCTGTTTGGGTTTGGTAGGATATATTCATAGAGCAGTTCGTTGTTCCTCAATCTCTTCTGTTCTGAATGACAGAAATGGGTAGGCTTTTTCTGCAGGTCTAGGTTCCTCTGTGTGTTTGTGCAATGCTGGCAGAGAAGCAGATGGTGCTGACATTTTTAAAGGAATGTTCTCAAAATGCAGGTGTAACTTTCCCAGATAATGTTATCTAAAAAGGATTTTCAGAAAAGAAAAAAGAAAAAATGTTTTTTTTTTTTTTTTTTTAAGCTAAACGTGTCTCAGATCAAGAAGAGCTCTGTTCACTCTGCGTCCTGGAGTGCCATGCCTTCAGTACTTGCAAAGCTTTACTTCTGTACTTGTGTTTTTCTTCCCTAATGTGTGTAACTACATTTAAAAACTTTTTTTCTTTTTATTTTATTTCATTTTTTATTTTTATTTTGGAGACAGAGTCTCGCTCTGTCGCCAGGCGCCAGGCTGGAGTGCAGTGGCGCAATCTCGGCTCACTGCAATCTCCACCTCCCAGGTTAAAGCAATTCTCCTGCCTCAGCCTCCCCAGTAGCTGGGACTACAGGAGCGCATTACCACGTCCAGCTAATTTTTTGTATTTTTTAGTAGAGATGGGGTTTCACTATGTTGGCCAGGATGGTCTTGATCTGACTTTGTGATCCGCCCACCTTGGCCTCCCAAAGTGCTGGGATTACAGGCATGAGCCACCTCGCCGGGCCCTTTTTTCTTTTTGGATGGAGTTTCACTTTTGTTGCCCAGGCTGGAGTGCAGTGACACGATCTTGCCTCACCACAACCTCAGCCTCCCAGGTTCAAGTGATTCTCTTGCCTCAGCCTCCTGAGTAGCTAGGATTACAGGAATGTGTCACCATGACCAGCTAATTTTGTATTTTTTTTCGTAGAGATGGGTTTTCTCCATGTTGGTCAAGCTGGTCTCAAACTCCCAACCTCAGGTGATCCACCCACCTTGGCCTCCCAAAATGCTGGGATTACAGGTGTGAGCCACCGCACCCGGCGTAAAATTCTTATAATATTCAAGGCTGTCTACAAAATATTTCTTTACTATATTTCAGAGCTGTCTCTAGATTGTCTACATCATGGCTTATTATATGGCATGCAGAATTCCTACCATAACTTTGTAATCTACACTATTAAAAAAGTTCCCTTTGTGAATGTTAAACATGGGAAGATGTGGATACTCAAGATTCCTGTTGGGGGAAAGCTGGGGTCTTTAGTAAAGACGGAGAGCATGTAATGCTGAGGTTTCATCTGTGTTCTCCATTAATTCTATGCAGAACAGAATTAAGAAAGTGCTTATTTAGGCTGGGCACGGTGGCTCAAGCCTGTAATCCCCGCACGTTGGGAGGCCGAGGTAGGTGGATCACGAGGTCAAGAGATTGAGACCATCCTGGTCAACATGGTGAAACCCCGTCTCTACTAAAAAAAAAATATATATATATAAAAAAATTAGCTGGGCATGGTGGCACATGCCTGTAATCCCAGCTACTCAGGAGGCTGAGGTAGGAGAATTGCCTGAACCCAGGAGGCAGAGGTTGCAGTGAGCCGAGATCACGCCGTTGCACTCCAGCCTGGGTAACAAGAGCGAAACTCCGTCTCAATAAAAAAAAAGAAAGCGAAACTACTTATTTAAACAGGATAGCATGTATTGCCCAGAAAGTTCTGAAAAAAAAATTATTAGGAGAACCTGCTCTCTATGGTGCTAAAGAAAGACTGCCTAAAATCACTATTAAAAATAACAGAACATGGGAGATATCTGTATCTTGAATTTTGCATAAAACTGATTTCTCTTTATGGTTAAATTCAGACTATAATTTACTTTTTGAGGGGCCATATCTCAGCAGTGATGTCGTGTTCTATGTACATCAGCACATCCTAAAAATGTGTTCTAGTGTGATTGACGTGAATGATTTACTTGGTTGCAGAGCTCTCTGACAGATCTTTTTTCACTTGAGTTAATTATTTTTCTCTTCATTATTAAGTATTTTTATGCAGCTAATGTGCATAAACCATTACAATTAATGTGGCACCTGCCCTTTTTTCTTAGATTTTCTCTGCATATATCTGTGTTTGGAAAATGAAGGCTCTTATCTTTGTTTACAGGCCAGAAAAAAAATTGGTAAAACATAGGCTCTTCCGTTTACTGGACGTTTGACAAAGTAGTTTTCTTAGGCCAAAAACAGTGGCATTACTAGTGAGCTTGTTAGAAATTCAGAAGTTCAGACTTTATTCTGGATCTCCTGAACAAAAGAAATCTACACAACAGGATCCCCAGTTTCTTGTTCACATTTAAAGTTGAGAGCTACCTTCTAACTCAACTGTCTATTTTCATCTGAAAAATATACAGAACTCAAACTTTATGATGTAAATATAGCCCTCAAGAGTATACATATTTTTGTTTATGCCCTTAATTTTATACTTTATCATCCAGAGAAGTATCATATATACACCAGGGTTGTGGATTTTATGCCATCCTCTTCTCTCAGAGTTAAACATGAGATAATATTTGTGTTAAAAATTATTGGATAATTTCAGTGATTTCTACAAGTCAAAACCAATTCTCTTTACTTTCTCATCTCACTTTAATTCAAATAATAAATTCTGCCCGTGGCTACTTGGTAAATATATGTGTCTGTGTGCTTGTGTTTTTCAGGGGCCGTTGACATTTAGGGATGTGGCCATAGAATTCTCTCTAGAGGAGTGGCAATGCCTGGACACTGCTCAGCAGGATTTGTATAGAAAAGTGATGTTAGAGAACTACAGAAACCTGGCCTTCTTGGGTGAGAATAACTTTAATATACAATTCCTCATATACCCTAAGGGTTTCATTTCTCTTTTTTTGTAGAATAACTTTTGGTAATTTATGCTTTGCATAAATGAGTTTCTGATTCCTGTTTTAAAGAAAATCTTGAGGATTTGTTTATGTAGAAAAGAATTTTTTCAAAATGTTTTATCTTGACTTTGCACATTCCTGGGCTGATAATGTATCCTTCACTCTAGATTAGTGGTAATGCCAGAAATTTAGTGGCATAAAATATTATTTCCCATGTCTTTTTTTTTAGATACAGAATCTTGCTCTGTCTTCAGGCTGGAGTGCAGTAGTGCAATCTTGGCTCACTGCAACTTCTGCCTCCTGGGTTCAACTGATCCTGCCTCAGCCTCCCAACTAACTGGGGCTACAGGTGCATGCCACCATGCCCAGCTAAATTTCTTTTTTTTTGAGATGGAGTCTTGCTCTGTCACCCAAGTTGGAGTGCAATGGCATAATCTCAGCTCACTGCAACCTCGGCCTCCTGATTCAAGCAATTCTCTGCCTCAGCCTTCCAAGTAGCTGGGATTACAGGAACCCGACACCAAGCCCAGCTAATTTTTGTATTTTTAGTAGAGAAGGGATTTCACCATGCTGGCCAGGCTGGTCTTGAACTCCGGACCACAAGTGATCCACCTGCCTTGGTCTCCCAAAGTGTTGGGATTACAGGCATGAGCCACAGCACCCAGCCATCCATTTCTTTTTTTTTTTGAGACGGAGTTTTGCTCTTGTTACCCAGGCTGGAGTGCAATGGTGCGATCTCGGCTCACTGCAACCTCCGCCTCCTGGGTTCAGGCAATTCTCCTGCCTCAGCCTCCTGAGTAGCTGGGATTACAGGCACACGCCACTATGCCCAGCTAATTTTTTGTATTTTTAGTAGAGATGGGGTTTCACCATGTTGACCAGGATGGTCTCAATCTCTTGACCTCGTGATCCACCTGCCTTGACCTTTCAAAGTGCTGGGATTACAGGCTTGAGCCACCGCGCCTGGCCCATTTCTTAAAACCTATTTACCACCACCAATTTTTGAAATTGGTATTTAAGTAAAATATTTAAGTGAAGTTAAGAACCTACAAATGTAAAACATTTTCTAAATACTTAGAAATTTTTGTCATAAATTTGTATTTTAGGATTAATTTTCTAGAGTATTCTACATTCTCTTTAGTAAGCACAGTACCAGGTTGGTAACTGACAAATATGAGAAAGATTCATGTTTTTTTTTTTATTTTTAATAAAGCAGGTATTGCTGTTTCTAAGCCAGACCTGATCACCTGTCTGGAGCAAGGAAAAGAGCCCTGGAATATGAGGAGACTTGAGATGGTAGATGAACCCCCAGGTAGGTGAGAGTGAATACAACAGGCCGGGTGCGGTGGCTCAAGCCTGTAATCCCAGCACTTTGGGAGGCTGAGGCGGACGGATCATGAGGTCAAGAGATCGAGACCATCCTGGTCAACATGGTGAAACCCCGTCTCTACTAAAAATACAAAAATTAGCTGGGCATGGTGGCGCGTGCCTGTAATCCCAGCTACTGAGGAGGCTGAGGCAGGAGAATTGCCTGAACCCAGGAGGCGGAGGTTGCGGTGAGCAGAGATCGTGCCATTGCACTCCAGCCTGGGTAACAAGAGCGAAACTCCGCCTCAAAAAAAAAAAAGAGAGTGAATACAACAGACGACAGCAAAAAGAAAGCCAATGCTGAAAATGTGACTTGGGATTCTGTGTTTCAAAGCAAATATTTTCTGGAAAGCTTGAGTTTTTAAAATTTTACTCTCACATAGGGGCGTCTTCTGTCTATGCTTTTAAATTCTTTAAGGATTTGACTTTCCCTTTGGTGATTTCCCTTCAAGTTTACCGTCAGAACCAAAGTCCTCTTAATGGCATATGAGACTGCACAATCTGGCTGCTTTTCCATTGTCTTGGGGGACACACAAATATCTGTATGATTTTGAGAAACTCTATGTTAAACTTTTTCTTTTTTCTTCTTCTTTTTTTTTTTTTTGAGATTGAATTTTGCTTTTGTTGCCCAGGCTGAAGTGCAGTGGCACAATTTCAGCACACTACAACCTCTGCCTCCCAGGTTCAAGCAATTCTCCAGCCTCAGCCTCCCAAGTAGCTGGGATTACAGGCACCCACAATCCCACCCAGCTAATGTTTTGTATTTTTAGTAGAGTCAGGGTTTCACCATGTGATCTGCCTGCCTTGGCCTCCCAAAGTTCTGGGATTGCAGGTGTGAACCACTGTGCCCAGACAAACTATTCTCTTAGTTCTCTTTTTGCATCATATCTGAAATATGCAAGGGTAGTGGTTTCTGTTTCATTGTTTGTTGTTGTTGCTGCTATTTTTCTACACATTCCATGCTGTTTTTATTAACATATTTTTGAAATATAGTTTCAAATTATAAAGTATGATGTCCCTATTCTTTGTTCTTTTTCCTCAAGATTGCTTTGGTTATTTGAAGTTTATTGTAAATTTTAGAATTATATATTCCATTACTATGAAGAAAAATGCCACTGAAATTTTAAAAGGGAATTTAGCAACTCTATAGATTACTTTAGGTAATAGGGCACTTTAACAATATTTATGTTTTTAATCCATAGACATGAAATATTTTTAAATTTATTTGTGTCTTCTAATTTCTTTTATTAGTAACTACATCTTTCATTGTAAAGGTTTCTTACCTCCTTGGTTAAATTTATTCTAAAAATTTATTATTTTAATGCTATTTTAAATAAGATTATGTTATTTCTCTATTAGATAGTTTGTTTTAAGTGTATGGAACAATAACTTATGCTTGTGTGTTAATTTTATATTTTTGCTAATTTACTGGGTATATTTATTAGTTTAGACAAATTTAAATGTACTGTTTATGGTTTTTATATATAAGATCATATGATCCATAAACAGCAACTTTTTACTCATTTGTCTTTAATTTCTTTTCTTTTCTTTTCTTTTTTTTTTTGCTGTTTGAGACAGTTTCTTGTTGCACAGGCTGGAGTGCAATGGCATGATCTTGGTTCACTGCAACTTCTGCCTCCTGGGTTCAGGCAGTTTTCCTGCCTTAGCCTCTTGAGTAGCTGGGATTACAAGTACCCGCCACCACACCGAGCTAATGTTTTTGTATTTTTAGTTGAGGTGGAGTTTCACCATGTTGGCAATGCTGGTCTTTAACTTCTTACCTCTAGGGATCCCCCTGCCTTGGCCTCCCAATGTGCTGGGATTACCGGTGTGAACCACCACACCCAGCCTTGTCTTCAATTTCAGTGACTTTTAAAAAATGTTTTTGATTCATTATTCTACCACATACTTCCAGTGAGTGCTGTGTTAAAATAGAAGCATTGACAATGGGCACAATATAGTTTTGCATTGGCCTGTGTGAATTTGAAGGAGAAAACAACTCCTCAAGCTTTTATAAACTGGTTTCAGGGCTGAGTGCAGTGGCTCATGGCTGTAATCACAGCACTTGGGGAGACTGAGGTGGGTGGATCACCAGGTAAGGAGTTTGGGACCAGCCTGGCCAACATGGTGAAACCCCATTTCTACTAAAAATAGAAAAATTATCTGAGCATGGTGGCATGCACCTGTAAGCCCAGTTACTTATGAGGCTGAAGGAGGAGAATTGCTTTAGCCTCGGAGGTGGAGGCTGTAGTGAGCCAAGATTATGCCATTGCACTGCAGCCTGGAGAGCAGAGTGAGATTCTGTCTCAAAACAAACAACCTGGTTTCAGGAGGTAAAGATCTTTTTCTGTAATGTCTCCAATATCATAGAATGCCTTCTGAGTTTGCAGTGGAGTGGGACTGTAGCTTTAGCACAAGGCTGCTGAGTCTGCACTAGGGTCCACCTTTAGTTGGCTTGTTACAGGGGCTTGGGTAGTTGTAATTTCCATTTTATTTTTGGACAGATTGAATATCCTTTAGGATTTTGATCTGTAGAGCAGACAATAGGGCAGATTTCTGCAGTCAGGATCATATATGATGGCTCTCATATCAGGATGTGAATGAGTATGGCTTTTACTGAGTACCAGAGAGGGTTTCCACAGGTCACTGTGTGGGTTTCTCTTTAGGCACAACTGGCCTTGAACCGTGGCTCATGGAGCTGGAACTGAGTCATTGAACTGTTTCAGGGACCACAGTAAAGGCCAAGGTCTGTAGGCCTGTCTGCATGGCTGTAAATGGGTGTCTCCCTTCAGGCCTCTGAAAGGCCAGGATCTCTCCCAGACTGTGGCTTGGAGAAATTTGGGTTGGTTACAGAGTAAGTTCTGAATTCTCAGTGGGAGCAAGTTGGGTGGGCCATTTGTTGGTTTGTAGCCAAGACCAGGGTTCTTGTAGTTTTTCAAGTGAATGAGGACCTGCCCTCTGAAAAGAACACTCCTCAGTCTTGGGCTTTAGCAGAGTTTCACAAGTCCCTCCCTGGATTTCAGAGCTTTATTCAAGGTACTTATTTTGGAGATGAGGTCTTGCTTCATAATCCAGGCTGGTCTTGAAATCCTGGCCTGAAGCAGGTCTCCAACCTCAATGTACCATGTAGTTGTCGTTACAGGTGTGAGCCAAGATGCCTGGTTCTCTCATGAAGCCATTTTTGCAGGGATAGCTAACAAATTTTCTTGCTTTGGAGAGGTTAAGCAAATAGAGAACTTTTCATTTTTTTTTCATGATACTAATTACTCTCTATACATTTTTACTTTCTATTTTACATCTCAAGCTTGTCTGTAATTCTAGATTCAGACATTTAGGACAATATGGTAGAATTTACATGTTATGCCTTAAGTAAATGACATAATCGGTAGGTACTCCTATTTACTAAACAGTTACTTATAATTTAAGTTTGCTGCAGGCAAAAAGGAATTATAGGATTTTCATCCACTTCCTTCGGCCTGTATCTAAATGATAACATAATTTAGTGCCAAATATTTGTTTTATATGTCAGAGGCTCTAACTATATTTTGTAAAACATAAGTATTTTAATTTAAAGCTTTTTGTTTCTAAAGTTAGTTACATTACATGTTTCATTCATATTGTGTAAGAATATCATATATTTGAAATATGAGAATTATTGCTAATTCCTTTTAAACATGTATTTATTAAAAGTTTCTCATTCGGCCAGGCGCGGTGGCTCACGCCTGTAATCCCAGCACTTTGGGAGGCCGAGGCGGGTGGTTCACAAGGTCAAGAGATCGAGACCATCCTGGTCAACAAGGTGAAACCTCGTCTCTACTAAAAATACAAAAATTAGCTGGGATTGGTGGTGTGCGCTTGTAATCCCAGCTACTCGGGAGGCTGAGGCAGGAGAATTGCCTGAACCCAGGAGGTGGAGGTTGCGGTGAGCCGAGATCGCGCCATTGCACTCCAGCCTGGGTAACAAGAGCGAGACTCCGTCTCAAAAAAAAAGTTTCTCATTCGCATATTCTATTTATAATCATACTGCATATTCTCTGGAATTTTACTACCCCATGGTGTATGTCAGTGATTCAAAATACCTGCCTTTCATGAGTACGTAGAGTCAAATACTGTAGTTACACACATTCTTTTTTAATGGTGTATCAGTGTGCATCGAAGATTTTATGAGTAAATGTGTCACTTGTTGTGCAGTTTCATAGCAGTGTTTTGTTAGTGTAGGTTTCTTAACATATGGATTTTTTTGGTTTCACTTATGTAATGTAATTTTAGACAGTTTGCAGTTCTGTTTATCTCTTATAAATCAGCCATGTGTCTGTCACCATTAGATATATATGTGTGTCTGTTTATTTATAAATAAGGCCCCAATATTGGTTATGGCTTATCTTGTATATATCCTTTCTTAGCTAATTTTTAGTGGATCTTTTACGTAACCTGAGTGAGTAGCCATGGCAGTATTTTCCCCATGGCTTATTTTCACCATGTGTTTAATGATGATATTTCTCCTACCTTTGTGTGAGAGAAACAATTTGTAATTCGAAAGTAATTTTTGAAAATACTTGTAAATCTCTATTTTTTTTTTTCATTTTTTCTTTAGAAAAATTCTTGTAAAAACACATAACATACTATTTACCATATTAAATCTATTTAAGTGTACATTTCAGGGCCAGACATGGTGGTGGCTCACCTCTATAATCCAGGATTATTTGAGCTCAAAAGTTTGAAACCAACCTGGGAAACATGGAAATTCCCTCTCTACGAAATACTTATGAGCTTGAGTAGGGAGGATTACTTGAGCCTTGGAATTTGAGGCTAAAGTACGCCAAAACTGTACCAGTGCATGTTAGCTTGGGTGACAGAGTGAGACCCTGTCTCAAAAAAAAAAAGCAGCTTTACTTTTCAGGCATGTTAATTATATGCACATTGTTAGGCAAAAGACTTTTATAT